GACGGCGGGCGCTCCGAGATATTCCCTCCTATCGACGCCCGCCGCCGCGCGGCCCTGTGGGCGCGCTCTTTCGATCTCTGGCGCGCTGTGAACAATTCGGTACGCGCACCGCTCTGCACACCGCCGCGCCCTCGATCGCCCTTATCCACCGGCCGAACGTTTGGTTCGGCCCGATTCCGGCGCGCAGCGGAACACGACCTCCCCCCGCGGGCCCACCGCGCTTAAGGGGTAGGATGGGGAAAAAAAAATCGAAAGATCATTTGAGACCACACCTCTGGAGGTGGTCTCAAAAAGGTTCTCCCGCGGCCCCGCAGGCCGCTAATAGAAGGGTCGCCGTTTGAGCCATTTGGGTAGCGGACATCTCCAATGTGACCCGAAAAATGCCCCAAATTTCGGGATTTAATGTCATAAGGTCCCCGTGTGAGTATGGCCTCATTCTAGCGGAATCGAAGTTGACCCCGGTCCTGCTCTTGATCAGGTTCGTAGTATTGCCCTCGGATCAGGACTGGATGGGCACGAGCGCAGTGATTGAAGGGGGGGGGGGGAAGGACACCCTGGCCCCTAACCAGCTGTAGGCGTCGTATCCGAACTCGAATCCACTTCCACATCCGAATACTCGTTGGTACCGGTCACCGAATTCACTGAAATGGGATCGCCCCGTCTTGTCATTGCCTACGTGGACAGAACGCTTTGCTGCGCCGATCTCTTCTTGCCGCATTGCTTAGGCGGGAGAGATTGCCCGTCGACCAGTGGAAGGCCGGAAAGGCAACGAACATCTGTGGGTGCACATTGTGAAGATGGCTGGCGCGTGCGCGAGTGTTTGGCTGGCGCGCACGGGCGTCGGCGGAGCTGGGGAGCTGATCGAGCGCGACGAAGCCCGCCATTGTGTAGAGCTTCATTTGCCCGCACGCAGCCACGTTGTCGGCTGCGGATTCGCCGGGCTGAGACCTAATGCAACCGCTGACGGTAATTTGATACTAACTGGGAAAACCACAAGTCGCAATAGAATTAGCGGGACACACCACCGCCGCCGACATGGCTCGCATGTGGTCGGTAATGGACCTGTCCACGTGGTTGCTGAGCGGACGGCGGTGGCAACGCCGTCAGCGGCTAGAAACGACGCGTCAGGTCTGGCCTTTGACTGCGTCATTGTGGGAGGGGGAATCTCTGGTTTGTGCACGGCCCAAGCACTGGCCACGCAGCATGACAGTACCGTGCAACGTGTCCTCGTTACAGAAGCTCGTGAGCGGGTTGGCGGTAATATCACGACCGTCGAGAGTGATGATGGCTATCTCTGGGAGGAAGGGCCCAACAGCTTTCAGCCAAACGTCTCCATGCTTCGGATGGCCGTAAGTGATACTCCTCTCTCTCTCTCTCTCTCTGTGTCTATGTTGTTCCGTTTATGTGGGGCTTCCTCCGCTTGCTCTTGAATATGTACATGAAAAATGAATTGATATCTTTCTTGTTTCCTTTTGTTTTTTTTGCTTTTGCGCTGTGACATCTTTGTGACGATATTCTGTATATAATTACATCTATATCCGCTACGATGTATTATATGAGTAGCATGTATATGTATAGTCTATGTGTATACACAGACGAGTGTCTCTCTCTCTCTCTCTCTCTCTCTCTCTCTCTCTCTCTCTCTCTCTCTCTNCTCTCTCTCTCTCTCTCTCTCTCTCTCTCTCTCTCTCTCTCTCTCTCTCTCTCTCTCTCTCTCTCTCTCTCTCTCTCTCTCTCTTTGTGTGTGTGGGTCCGTTTATACGCGGTTTCCTCCTCTTGCTCTTGAAGATATATATAGTTACATCTATATATTCTACAATGTGTTATATAAGTAGTATGTATATGTATAGTCTATGTGTATACACAGACGAGTGCATGGCGGAGAGAAATAGTTGTGAGACATCGAATTGATTCTCTGGTCCTGTCTTTCCACTGCAAGCTTGCAGACTCTTCGACGAGCTTGTGCGAGTTTCACTTCCTCTCGAGGTCCGTGTTCCGACTCCATCTATCTATTTTTCATTGGTCAAAGGAAAGGGAACAAACCTTGACAACGTAGTTGTATTTTCTGACACAATTTGAATTCATGAACTGTCAACACCAGCCAGGTGCATGGCCTTCGGGACCTCCGTTAAAATTGGAACGACCCAGAGAAAATTAGCATGGCCCCGGCGCAAGGATAACGCGCATAAATTGAGAAATGGTCCAAAATTTTCAAATCAATATGATAAAACTCCTTATGTTTGAATCAATCTGATGATCTGATGTCATAATCTGGCATGTCATTGTGAAGCAGGTGCATGGCCTTCGGGACCTCCGTTAAAATTGGAACGACCCAGAGAAAATTAGCATGGCCCCGGCGCAAGGATAACGCGCATAAATCGAGAAATTGTCCAAAATTTTCAAATCAATATGATAAAACTCCTTATGTTTCAATCAATCTGATGATCTGCTGTCATAATTTGGCATGTCGTTGTGAAGGCAAGCTAAGGAAAAAAAAAAAGAAAAAAAAAACACCAGCGAGGTGCCCTTCGTCTTCGGTTCTCGTGAAACGTAACAACTCGTGCAAGCGAAGGGTACCTCTTTTTTCTTTTTCTTATCCTTTTCAAGCAATTCTGTATTAGTCATTAATACTCAGCCAGCCAGTATGCATAGAGGCTGGCAACCTCACAACCAGCCGGAATTATTGGGACCATTACCCAGCCAATTTCTATGATACTCGTCCGATCACATACTACCCCCCAAAAATATCAATCGAAACAGAAGATCCAGACCAAAAACACCTTTGGAACTTGTCCTCGACGCGAATGCTTCGTGATTTCCTTTTCCTGCGTGGTTTCTTCCTCTCTTGGCTTTGTTGATCCTCTTGAATTTGCGCGTTGTCCCTGTAGAATATGTGGGTGCCTGCGTCAGCTATGAGATCACAGAGTCTTCTACTGTGTATGTTCGGGGTACATGCCTGCCCGTAGATCAGCCAATCTTTATGTAGGCGTTTAAGGGTCGTTTGACATGTAGTCCATCACAGTACAAGATAGTAGGAATTGCCGTTTTTACACTAGTCTATGAAATCCTTGTCCTCCCCCTCCTCTTTCTCTTCCTCCTTTTTCTCCTCCTCCTCCTCCTCCTCCTCCTTCTTTTTCTTCTTCTTCTTCTTCTTCTTCTTCTTCTTCTTCTTCTTTTGGATGTGTGCTCATGTTGACAATGGAATGCATATATTCTTTCTGAATGCCTGAGCGCGTAGCGTTGGCCTCGCTATCTCCTTCCTCCTTCTTCTTCAGTAACAAGCAAAAAGGGAAACGAGAGGGGGAATCTTCACCAGCACCCGTGAAATGCGAGCTCGTTGCCCAAAACTGAGGGGCCCTTGTTCAGCGCCGAAACGTCGCCCGCGGTTGCTCCATCTTTTGGTGGGGACCAACACCTGCTGGAAAACGGGTTCAGCGTCCCATCAAACAAACATGTGATCAGAGTATTGAGATGAACCTCCGTCTCCGCCGGCACTGATTGCAACATTGTATTCATCTGACACGAGCGGGATTGATTGAAACTGAGGGGCACGTGTTCAACCCCAGCACTTCAGAAGCCCTGCTCTGTGAGGGCAATATCTCTGGCATGAAACTGTCCTACAGTCGATTGAAACTGAATTTACTTCCTTCTGTTTTTCACTAAGGAGAACAGTGTTGTATTTCCGTGACTCACGCAGCATTCGAATTCGTGACTTGTCGAGTGATAGTGACAACATTTGTATTCATTCAATGTTGTCACTAAGATGAGATGGGTAATTCACGGGTTGCGCTCACGAATATCCTTAGTCTATTTCGTCAGCACTTCACGACGGCAAGACGTAGCGAAGCTGTAGGATGTCTCGGGCACTGGACAAGCTCGGGCGGGTGTGCCCCTCCCACCATCGCTCCAGCGGCCGACGATAAAAGAGGCCAGGAAAAGAGTGGGGGCATGCGCACATTAGAACTTTCCAGGATGTATATGACCGCTTTTCCGACCCGTCCTGGATGCACTTGACTGCAATTACGTCCACAGAGAAGTGGGAGAAGTCCTAGTGTGAGCAGGCCCTGAGCCTGGGTTATGACTGTAATGCTCGGGGGCCATGTCCCAAGCCCGCGTGTTGAGTCCCTCCCATGCGAGCTGAAAATCTCATGATGGCCATTATTATTACTTTGGCTGCATTGTAAATATTTGAAAACTACTATCCTTCTGCTGCCTGGTGGGACGTGGCCCCGGACCCTGGGTTGAGCAAGACGACCGTTTTTTCTCCACTCTTGTAGGTCATTTGCGCACCGACGTGGCAGCAGGGGGTGTTTTGCAAGTTGTGCATTCTCCCTACCGCTTTTCAGCCTTCCGTCGTTCTCCTCCAATCTCGTCCTTGATTATTGCGTCCTTGAAGATGAAGAATTGCGACGAGGAGGGCAAACTGGCCGCCTCTCGAAGACGTCGGTTGCACTCTTGCCACCCAGAGAGAATCCAAAAGAAGGGCTCTGGGTTTGATGAGCAGCCGTCACAATTTAGGGTTTAATAATGTGCTGTCCCCCCACGTGTGGGGCAAAGTCCTTGATTACAATTGGTGCGGTCATTCCTGTTTTAAAGGCCCTCTAGCGGATTTGCATGCGTGCCCGAGAGAGAGGTGTGTGTGGAGTAGTGCAATTGTCAGATGAGGACAAACATAGTAAGAGGACCTGATGAAATTTTCATGCCTGTGGTTGAGCACCGAACAACCGCAGGCACAGAGAGCGGCACCTCCTTTCGCCCCTGATGTTTTAAACGCTTACCTGCGAATACCCTTCCAGCAGCCATTCGTTCCTTCTTGCGTACGCATTCCGGGATAGGTGACACGGTCCTGCCTTTACTGAAAAGGATCTTGGCCAACAACAAGCAGGTAAGTTCTCTCTCTCTCTCAGTCTCTCTCTCTCTCTGTGTCTGTGCTATCTACTACTGAGCGCAGGTCTCATGAGCTCTTTCTCAATGTCCTCCCTGTATTGCGCTATCCTCAAGCTATGGTGCCCACCGGCGTCCCGTATCTTCTCCAGGCACCGTTCTCGCGTCCAGGATCTTGGCGCACAATAACGCAGCAGTGCCTCCGCATAAGCCAGAATCTAAGAAGAGGATGTCCCTGGCTGTAGCCTCCATTTTTTTTTTGTTTTTTTTTGTTTTCAGATATTAAACTGATCAGAACAGATGCTAGAGCCTCCGTTTTTTTGGTGCATGCATATACCTTCTAGTCTGGTCAGGCTTCGCCGGGGCCAACAAAGATTCTGACTGTCCCTAGGCCCTTCCTGGGACTGAGCTGCAACTTGACCCATAGACCATCTGCCTACTGAGTGCTATGGACTTCTACTGTTCCTACCGGCCTTATCACATCAGGGACTTCTACTGTTCCTACCGGCCTTATCACATCGGATCTCTATTTTGGCCTGTACAGTACCTGCCTAAAAGTTCTATGTGCCGCCCTATGGTACAAATGAAAATGAGACGCGTTACCAGGGCCGGATTGCTTCAGCGCGTGAATCGTTTCAGAGGGCTCTTCTCAAGGAATGGTTGCACAGGGTTGAAAGCCAATAGTTGGCGTATTTTTAACTCGGCCTACCTGATGGAGGCCTTCCAGGCACATTATGGACTACGAGCTTGTGGTGGTGGTGGTGGTGGTGTGTGTGTGTGTGTGTGTGTGTGTGTGTGTGTGTGAGAGAGAGAGAGAGAGAGAGAGAGAGAGAGAGAGTCACGGGGCAAGCGCATGCAAACAGGAGCAATCAATAAATTCAATCTAGATAAGAGCTGGGATGGTTTTTGGCTGGCCATGTGGTGGAGGTGGTCTGAAAGCGGGACTACCAGCGGCAATGCTCAATGGTGAGTGTGGACGCTCTTGGATCTGTGATGCAAACATCCACGCCAAGGAGAGGAGTATGAACCCCGGTGGCCCTGCATTGATGGCGGGAATTATCCTCTAACTGTACATCAGCGTCACATCAGGTGCAGGGTTGCAGGGGAGCTCCGTCGCTGGTGGGATTGCATGAGGCGTGGGGCAGGGTGCAGCACCTTCGCCTCATCGTCAGCAGGCCACTCCCGTAGGGCACACAAGTGTGGGTTGTGGTGGGACTGAAGAAGGCAGGTGGTTTCTTTACAGGGGTTGGCGTGGAGCTGCCAGTAGCAGCAGCGAAATGGCGTGCCCAGGGGCAAAGCCATGAGGGGGGAGTCCTGGGCAACACCATGACGGGGGAGCCCTGGGCAACACCATGAGGGGGGAGCCCTGGATGGGCCATGGAAAAATCCTTCCCCAGAGGAGGCATGAACCCAGGAGGCCCTACAGTGATGGTGGGAACTATCATCCGGCTGCACATCAGTGTTG